TTATAAATTAAAAAGTTTCGAGCGTTCCATCCCACTTAATTTTGTAGAATGCAGACGATACTTTAGACACAATTACACTTGAATGAGGTAGTGGTACATCATACGGGCCGGGATCTCAAGTAGACTCTGTATAGCTTTGTTAACTATCCGGTTTGGAAAAAGAAACTGCCTGTTCTAATACAGCAAGAATCTATAAAATTTCTCGTGATGCTGGTTTGAATCAATAACGAAGAAACTCTTGGAAAAACAAAGATTCTGAAACTTGCTGTGGTAGGTACTCAAATATGAGGGTCGATTTTTCAGTCTAAATCATGCATTATTGTAGTTTCTGTAAATGATATATAGAATGATTGTCTCTCAAAGATCCTACTAGTCATTGTTGGATATTTGTGCGATAGTGAAATTAAGAGTATACTTCATATCGGCTCTTAATTCAGCTGCGTGTGGATACTTGTTCTCGATAAAAGTTTCTTTGCAAAAAGATTGTATATATATATATATATATAATATCGTTAGTGTTCTCTTAGTTATTACAGAAATATTTTACGTGTAGTTTACAATTACAAAAAGTGAGGAATACTAAGCGAGACACTTGATACAAATGCAGATGTATCACATGACATTCAACAGTCATTTGATGTGCTCACGAAGTATGTATCACTTGTTAACCATATATCTACATTCAAACTAAATAGGTTTCTTAACAATGAAAGTATTTGTAGTAATAAGCAGTTCTTTCTTGCCGATCAAGATACAAAGTGGATAATACCTATCATTCTTGTAGTGGAATTTGAGTAAAGATGAAGGGAGGCGATGACTCGACGCCTGGTAGCAGAGTTTAGTAAGCTGCAGCTTTCTCTTTAAAGCCTGCAGATCCTCCACTGAGTCTAACATAGGTATGAAGGGGTTCTCCTTTCAACTACTAAAAACAATACGAACAAATTGAGCTAGGCTACTCTTCATCACATACCCTCTGTCAAGGCGGTTGTACAATTTCAGCACAAATTCCAATTGGTCCCGAAGTGCGGATGGAGTAGTGTTTTGGCGCGCGAGCGGGGCGACAAGTCAAGATCGCCGTTTGCCGAGGGTATGCTCGTCACGACTAGGATGCTAAGTGCTAGTGAAGGAGACTTGGAGATGATTGAGCTGGCGAGGTTTCAGGGGTTTGGACAGAGAGAGAGAGAGGTGTTTTGGAACGAAAGAAACGAAAAGGCAAACATACTTGCCTGATTAGTATGGATGTTACATGTCGAGAAGCTGAAGGACTACTTTATGGTAGATCCAGTGTTCCCATCTACGGCTGAACATACAACATATCCAAGCCATAGCTATGGCTAGATCGTGTGATAACTTCGACCGTAATTATGACGGGTGTGGACCGGACTGGTGCATTATCGGAGATTATAATCTAGTTCTACAACGTTTTGTTCTTCCCGCAAAACTCCTCTCGAGATTCTCTAGAATTTTCCCCTAATTTTAGCACGTTTCTCCACGATAGATGATATGGAAAGAAAGCTTAGAAGCTTGGAGGTTAACCGTGCAGCAACGTTCGAGTCAGCGGCGCCGGACTGGCCGACACTGTTGAAGGCTTCAGAAGGATTGCCATGTCTTTGGATTGAGTTCTAGTGTTAGTATTGCGGGAGCCCCGCACGCACGATTCCGATTTATTGCCCGAGGCTTGCTGGTGAGGGCGCCTACATGCCCTGTATGGTCACAGACACGGGAAGGACAACAGTGATGGCAAAAAGAAAGCAAGAGCTAAGCCTAGACGGATCATGTCAACTGTCACATCGGCACGATATGCGCCTCGTCTCATTCCGATGGCCGGAACGTTGGCGAGTGTAGATAAGCAATCGCTCTAGCCATTCTAGCTCGCAAATGTGAATGCTATGGCGCGCAGCTCTCCCCTGCAATAATTGGTTTGAACGGCAGGCGTCCGAGGCCTCGTTCCATGCCCCATGGCCCTTGGCTGGCTCATCATGTCTCCCTACTTGTGGGTACCCCCGCCATCCCCTACCTGTAGCCCCGTAAATCCCACTCCCTTGGGCAGACAGCTCGAAAGGCTTCCATCCGTCTGGTGCGCGCAGTTATGTTATAGTGCCTCTGGGTTGGATAAGGTAAAACTTCAAACTGGGCGGTTTAAGGGATTAGCCCTGTAGGCGCAGCTGGGCTAGCTCGTAACAGGTTAGTATGTCTCTCCTCCTTACCCCGCTCGCCATGAAGTATGGTCCAATCGTCTTCTTCTAACAATCGCTTAGAGAAACACATTTTCAACGACACTTTTGGCTGCCCAACCAACAAAGTCTCTGACCCCTAACATTACTATCAATTCATTCTCTATTCTAGCAAACAATGTCTATCCAAAAGTCTGCTTCAGAAACTATAGTTAGCAGGCATCTAACTCGCGATCAATGTATCGAAATTAGAACATTAAGAAGACTTGGCTTGACATTACAACATATATCCGACGAACTTGACTTCACAAGAAGGCAAAGGCAATTTGCGTGTGCTCGAGAGACTGAGAATCCTATGCCTGACAAAGGACTCTCACCAAAATTAAGCGCGGAACAGGTTGATGAGCTTGAGGCTTTCGTCCGGAAATCTCCTAAAAATCGACAGATGTGCTCTTTGGAACTAGCAATGGGACCCTTCAGCCACTGGGGATGCAATGAGCATTAACTTTCGAATGCCCTCAATAAAATGGGTTACAGCAGATGCATTGCTTGGAAGAAGCCTCCGTCAAGTGTGGTTAACATGCACAAAAGATGTATAGCGGTGATAAAGGAAAATGGAGGGTACACAAAGTATGAGAATGGAGCAGACTAACTCAAAACATCTAGTACGCTTTCATTTTAGTTGCAAGCCATACTGAGGGCTTCGATGTATTCTTTTGCAGTACAGAGCAATTATTTTTGAAATAGATGTGCATTTTTAGATAATATCAATTGATTTTCAGCAGATCCTAAAACTTGGGCAGCAGCAAAGTTCTACCAATGCCGCCATTCTGGACGTACAAAAATGAGCTTCCGGGAATCGCCATTTTCTCTCCACAAAAACCTGACGAGGGCCCAAAGTAGCTTAGCAATCCAAATTGGAAGCGAGCATATCGGGCTCAATTCGTATTTGCATAGAAGAAAAATACCAGGAGTCTACAATCCATGCTGTCCGTGTGGCTACCAATCACAAAATCCCAAGCACATGATCATGTCCTGCCCTAAGTGGTCAATTGGTAGAGGAGAAATCTAGAGACAAGCCCGAAATCGCTCCTTTGAAGCAATGACCAACAATCCTAGCGATATGAAAAGAAACACATGATGAATTCTTAATCATGGTTGGATAGAACAATTCCGCTTGACAAATGCAGTCGAAATGCTGCTCAGGGAACGAGACGGAACATGTAGAAGGTTGGGGTCGATAGAAGGGACGTGATTGGTACACATTGACGGTGTTACAGTATAACTGTACTTCCTGAAGGATAAACTGCAAACTATAAGAATTAAATCAGAAAGCTTGGGGGGTTTTCACCGAGAGGTTTCCTCTTATGTAAATATATAGATAGGTTTATAGCCACCTGCATAGGCCCTTTTATTTTTGCATCAGATTTTAATTGCGTATGCAGCTATCTAGCTACGACACAATATCAGAGAAATTGCAAAGAGTAGATGACTCAACTTAAAAGTTGAGCATTCATGCCTCGGATTTAGTTTGAAAGTATCGCTGCGAAGTTATGGTGGCTTTTTCCTCACCCCAAGTCAACCCTCATCCGTGAATACCCACCCAGGGGAACGTCTCAAAAACCCTGGGTTACCCAGACATGCCTCTATCATCCATTTACTTTTCTCCGCGCGAAATGTGGTCTGAAGCGTGTCTTTATTAAGTGGAATAGGTGTCCAGGCTACTAAAACTATACCAGAGAACACCACCAGGAGGCGGACCACGGCACCTTCCATCGTCGGCTTGTTTTTATAGTGTCAGCTGGACTCTCGCAAGCGAAGTCTTCACGCGTACAAAGCTGAATTCGTAAAACTCCTTGCCAAAATTCGAAATTTCACGCCCTTCGAGGTTTTATCCTTATTTTGCATCATCTTGTAAACTTGTCCTGATCCCTCTCACGTCCATCCAAAGAACTGTCTCCCAGATTTGTGCGCCACGCTTTGCTTCCTCCGGTGGGTGTAAATATCGGCGTGGGCGTGTATTTGGTAGTCGACTGAGACCAGAGAAGGTCGAAGAGAGGTCTGGTCACTGAGATGAGGATGTACTTGGTCGTACTTGTAGACTTGATGAGACTTAGGTAGGGATCGATCTCGTTAGGTAGTAGAAATTGATAAGGCGAAGAGTCTTGAATTATTGCCTCGTGGGCCAACTTGTTCGGTATTGCGAAATTTGACTGTACTTGGCTCTGGGAGAATATTTCATTCCCAAGTTCACAGAGGAGACTGCGTCCAGGTAAGGGAAGCTATATGGGAGGCATAGGAGGGGATAGACTACTGGCATAGGTATCCTTGGACTGTAGGCAGAGAGGACCTACATGTCCTATATAGTCATAGACTTCGGCAGGACAATAAAATAGATTACTGATTGCGTCCAGGTGTCTACTCTTTGCGCTACATGGATAAGACTTGTGGCTATGACTTACACCCTTGATTGAATAAATCTAATAAAATGCTGCAATCACAGTAGCACGTGCCAAATCGGCATGGCACAAGGTTACTTTGGCAGTTCTTAGCCACCTTCATTTATCCAACATGTGCACCCTCAAATGTTGGTTTTCTTAGTCTAGGAGATCAGTCCTACCTCATCAGATTGTCTACAACGTGCTACACTCGATTCCTATCAAGCTGGCTCCCCACGAAAGGCTTTCGGTCGTTGCCAGACACCTAGACCCCGCCCTTCCAAAGTATCCAATTAATACGCCCTTCAGCTTGGAACGGCTAGCCCCAATTGAATCTGTGGTGCTGAAACCACTGACATCGAGTACGGGATGCCAGACGATTGAAGATATGGCTTGCCCGATAAAACACCCTACTTTGCTCATTCCTGGACCTATCGAATATGATGAAGCTGTCCTCCAGTCTATGAGCCACTACAGGTGCGTTAACATGAGTTCAGTCGCATTTCCCACCCATATCGTATCTAATGTTTTGCAGTGAAAGTCATATCTCAAGCTCTTTCATTGAAACTTTCAGCGAGACACTTTCAATGTTACGAAAACTATTCCAAACTGAAGATCCTTCTTCTCAGCCTTTTGTGATATCTGGCTCAGGTACACTTGGCTGGGATCTAGTAGCTGCCAATCTTACGAAACCTGGAGATGATGTGTTAGTGCTACATTCTGGCTACTTTGCCGATTCCTTTGCAGACTGTTTTGAGATATATGGGATTCGGGCAACGCAGCTGAAGGCCCCAATTGGTTCATGTCCTGAATTGGCAGAAGTCGAGAAAGCCCTAAGAGAAAAGAATTACAAAATGTTGACTGTTACCCACGTCGATACGTCAACTGGTGTCCTAATGGACATTAAATCTCTTTCCGAGTTAGCTCGTCGTATCTCTCCTGAAACCCTTATTGTTGTAGATGGTGTTTGTAGTGTCGGATCAGAAAATATTGAATTTGATACATGGGAACTTGATGCTGTTATCACGGCAAGTCAGAAAGCTATTGGTTGTCCAGCCGGTCTTTCAATCTCCATGTTTAGTGGACGTGCCATAAAAGTCTTCAAAGCTAGGAATTGTCCCCCTGGGTCATACTTTGGTATAAATCCCTGTAACCTGAAATTACTCGCTAACAGCAGCACAGCATCATTTAAAAACTGGCTTCCAATCATGGAGAATTATGAAGCCAAAATCCCATCATACTTTGCGACCCCTTCCCCTCAATTAATCCATGCTCTTCACACAGCTTTGGCTCAGATCCTTTCGAAACCGTTACCTGCAAGGTTTAAAGCTCATCGAGAAACCTCTCAACATGTAAAGGAAGCTATTACTTCACTAGGACTTAAACAGCTTGCTTCCCGCCCTGAAAACCAGGCAAATGGAATGACGGCAATTTATCTACCAGAGCATATAAAGGCATCTGAGCTACTGTCGAGCCTGTATAAAAAAGATGTAATCTTTGCTGGTGGGCTACACAAAGACATAGCTATGAAGTACATACGATTTGGACACATGGGCGTCAGTGTGGTGAGTGCTCCCTTCCTAGCATTTAGCGACACGCTACTAATAAATTTTCTAGATGGACCCGAAAAGAAATGATATTAACATGGCAGTCAAAGCTCTTCAGACGTGCCTAGCAGATGCAGGATATACGGGTCACCAAACAACTTAGAAATAGAACTCTCCATGTGAATGCGTATATCAACACATAATCTGTAATTATCTAGCCTGTGTAGAGAGCAACCCCATATTAACACTGCATATACTGAAATTGACTGAAAAGTGGACACTAACACATGATCCCGAGATAACACTAGACTTACACAGCGCTATGACGCTAGTTACAGATAGTTCAGACCAGCTTATTAACGCATGTCTACCCGTTTTTAATGGGACGCTCCAAAAATACTCATATCGACAAGATGATTCCTTCCCACCGTTAGCGGTGTTTGTGGGCAAAAAATCTCATGCCTCATTAGTTATTTGATAGAAAATTTTTTAGAGTTTATAGCATCGGACCCAACGTTACGAGGACCTATTTACAGTAATATAATGAGAGTATTCGTGTGGTATCTTTTATAGTTTTAATGAGGAAATAAAGCAACTCGAAAGAAATATTTAGTTAACTAAAAATTAAAAATTTGAAACGTAGTAAGACAGGGAATTAAGTTAATAAGAATGTATCTGTAGCTGTCATATGGTATGAGATCAGTAATCACAGCATCCAGTAGCTATTACTATTTCTCATATGGACGGGTGGACATCGAATGACCAGATAAATCTCTGACTCAACGACACAGCTGAGATGCCGATTATTTCCATTTCTCAAATCGAGTTTTGCCATCAAATTCTTTACGTGGCAATGAGGCTGCCATAGTAAGGTTCGGTTTGCTCGTATGCACATCAAGAAAAATAATTAGCGGGACCCTGTCTATCTAGATTTCAATTTTGTCACGTGAGAAGTAAACTCATAACTCATCTCTCTTTGGAGGGGTCCAATAAATCTAAAGCATTCTCCCTTGCTCACGACATACTCCCTGACCACCTCACTTCGCTTGCGCGAGCTGAAAAGAATACGACCAAGTATAAGATCTAATTTGCCCTAAGACTGCGTTACTGTGATCAGTGTAAGCCGCGAAGATGGCTCCAACGGTCGAAGAGCTCGACGCGACTGTCCGCGCCTTCTACGAGGGGCGTGGAGAGCCAGTACGTATACTTAGAGCCGAAATCTAAGTCTATGATGGTTTATTAGCAATACTGACGCGTTCATCTGGCAGCAAAAAGTTGCGCAAGCCGCCCTTAACCAGGCAAGTTCCACTTTATCTCAACACCGAAAGTTAGTATAGAAGACATCGTTACTTACTTCCCACAATAGTTCAAGGAAGATCCAGACGCCTGGCTATTAGTAGATAAGATCCTACAAGATGCCACATATCCACAAACTAAATGTACAGTATAAACCTCAGCTGTACCACCGCTCTTACTGAGAATCATCAATTATAGATTTGGGTCTACAAGTCCTTGACAATGTCATCATGACCAGGTGGAAGGTTCTCCCTAAGGAACAGTGTCAAGGTTTGCCCTTCAACAAAAGTGTGAGATGAATCAGTTAAAGATTATTAGGGATCCGAAACTTTGTGGTAAACTTCATAGTTCAATGCTCGAACTCAGAAGAATCACTCAAAACTCAACGTACACTTCTAAACAAGCTAAATCTCGTCCTGATTTCAGTATTAAAACAGGAGTGGCCTCACAACTGGCCCACATTTATCAACGAGATTATATCCTCATGTCACACAAGCTTATCGATTTGTGAAAACAACATGGCAATATTACGGCTCCTTTCTGAAGAAGTATTTGATTATTCTGCGGATCAAATGACTTCAACAAAGACAAAAAGCCTGAAATCTACAATGTGTACCGAGTTCTCATCTATCTTCCAGCTATGTAGCGAAGTATTAAATAGTGCTACGCAGCCGAGCCTTATTAAAGCCACACTTGAGACGCTGCTTCGTTTTTTCAATTGGATTCCATTCGGATATATCTTCGAGACACCCATCATTGACACATTAAGAAGTAGATTTCTGGAAATGCCGGAGTTCAGAAATGTTACACTCAAGTGTTTGACTGAAATAGGAGGATTACAGACAGGCCAGAATAATGCGTACAATGAAAAATTGGTATCAATGTTCACTGAAGTTCTAACTGCAATCGCCAAAATCATTCCTCTCTCGCTGGATCTGAAAGCAACCTACAACTCCAGCAACTCCAAAGACCAAGAGTTTATTCAAAACCTTGCCCTATTTCTTGTCAACTTCTTCAGCGTCCATCTAGCAGTTTGTATTCCTCACTTGATTGCGAATCCTGGCTGACATTCGATTGTAGCTAATCGAAAACCTTCCAAATCAATTTTACCTGACCCATTCTCACTTCTACTTGATTCGAATTTCCCAGATCGACGATAGAGAAATTTTCAAAATATGTTTAGAATACTGGACCAAACTTGCGCAAGAACTCTACAACGAAATGCAGACTCTACCTATGACCGATGTCAATACACTCGCAACACTCGGTGGGCCTCCTCTTGGAAACTCTGGTGCTCCCAACCCAAGTATGCTAGAAAATTATCCACTTCGAAAGCATAAATATACCACAGTGCTTCCAAACCTGCGTGCTCTTATCATTGAAAAGATGGTACGGCCAGAAGAAGTCCTGATTGTTGAAAATGATGAGGGTGAAATCGTCAGGGAATTCGTCAAGGAAAGTGACACAATCCAGCTTTACAAAACGACTCGGGAGTGTCTTGTCTACTTAACGCATTTAGATGTGGTTGATACGGAATATATCATGACAGAAAAACTAGCTCGACAGGTGGATGGTAGTGAATGGTCATGGGCAAACTGTAATACGCTTTGTTGGGCCATAGGATCTATTTCACTCGCCATGAATGAAGAAACCGAGAAACGTTTCTTAGTGACTGTAATCAAAGACCTCCTTGGTCTGACCGAAATGAAAAGGGGAAAAGATAACAAAGCCGTGGTAGCCAGTAACATTATGTACATCGTTGGTCAATATCCTCGATTTTTGAAGGCTCACTGGAAATTCTTGAAGACAGTCGTAAATAAACTCTTCGAATTTATGCATGAATCGCATGAGGGTGTACAAGATATGGCTTGCGATACCTTTATAAAAATTGCCAAGCAGTGCAAGCGTCACTTTACCACTCTACAACCTGGTGAAACTGAACCTTTTATTGAAGAGATTGTTCGAAATATGCGCAAAATCACATGTGATCTCCTGCCACAACAAGTTCACACTTTTTATGAGGCTTGTGGCTATATGATAGCTGCTCGACCTCAAAAAAACGTCCAAGAGAGGCTGATCGCCGAATTAATGTTGTTTCCTAACACCTCTTGGGATAGTATCATACAACAGGCAACTGCCAATCCAGCGATTCTACAAGACCCAGTTATTATCAAAGTCATCGGAAACGTGATGAAGACCAATGTATCAGCATGCTCATCAATAGGAAGCTACTTTTATCCTCAAATTGGTAGGATATATCTCGACATGTTATCTATGTATCGTGCGACCAGTCAAATGATTTCCGAAGCGGTAGCACGAGATGGCAAGTTCTAGCACTGTGTCCCTACACATAATTATACTAATAATATTTAGGCGAAATTGCAACGAGGATGCCTAGCGTTCGTGGGCTTAGAACCATCAAGAAAGAAATTCTCAAGCTTATTGAAATTTATGTAGAAAAAGCTGACGATCACGAGATGGTTCGAACAAACATTGTTCCAGCTCTGTTAGACGCCGTATTAGTCGACTACAATCGAAATGTTCCAGATGCTCGGGAAGCTGAAGTTTTAAAAGTTATGTCGACAATTATCACTAAGCTCTCTGTACGTTGGGCCCCTTATCGATCCAAATACTCTGTGGTGCCTCTCCGCTTTTCTAGGAAACTTGCACGGCTTGCTAACTATAAGCTTTACTAGTCTCTCATGGAAGATCAAGTACCCACAATTATGGAGAACGTATTTGAATGTACCCTTGAGATGATCAACAAAGACTTTTCAGAATTCCCTGAACATCGTATAGAATTTTTTACGCTTCTCCGGGCTATTAACCTCTACTGCTTTCCTGGTAGGAATCCTTCATTCGTCTTTATACAGTCACTGATCGTCTGAAGCTCTCTTGAAGCTTGATAATAGGCAATTTAAGTTTGTCATTGACTCTTGTATGTGGGCTAGCAAACATGATAATCATGAGGTTGAATCTGCGGGACTCAACATGTGCCTCGAGCTAATATCAAATATTGCCGAAACTAACCCAGGAACATCTAACGCTTTCTTCCAACAGTTTTTTGTTCCTATCCTACAGGATGTATTCTTTGTCCTCACTGATACCGACCACAAAGCTGGCTTCAAGTCTCAGTCTACGCTTTTATCTAAAATGCTGTATCTCATTCATCCAGCCGATGGATCAACACCTAAAATACAGGGTCCAGTATATCAACCTAATCAGGCGCCAGCTGGTACTAGTAATAAAGAGTTTCTGAGTGATTTTATAGCCAAACTTCTTCAGAATGCATTTCCAAATTTGCAATCGTACGTCAAGGTTCCTTGTTCACCCTACGAAATTCTAATTCTAAATAGGAGTCAAATAAAGGTGTTTGTTGAAGGCCTTTTCGCCCTTAACAGTACTTGTGATAGGTTTAAGTTAAATCTACGTGATTTCCTTATTCAGTTAAAGGAATTTGCAGGTGATAACACCGAACTCTTTGCCGATGAGAAAGAACAGCAAGAGAGAGATGCAAAAGCTGCTGAGAGAGAGCGGCTTTCAAAGGTTGGTGGCTTGCTCAAGCCAGCTGAGCTTGCTGAAGAAGACGATGAATTGTGAATTGAAGAAGAACTCAGAAATGAGTACGCCGAAATTTCGGCAAGGAATGACGCAAGCGCGACCATTCTGAACAGAACGGCCAATCGATATCTAGATGGTTGGGAAGCTTATGACCTTTAAGCTGCATACTAATTGCTATCTGAGTATCCGGCTTCTTCTCCAGAGGTTACATCCTATATCACCACTCTCAAGGTTCATATTTCTCGGAAGCGTGGGATTCAGAAGACCTAGCGGTCTGTGTTAACAAAAGTTCTTGCCATTTAGAATTTGTAGTTCATTAAGTGAGCGAGGGAATTTTTTCATGTGATTTTGCGCAAAGTAACGAACGATATACTTTATATTACATGATAGGTTACAGATGTGTTAAACCCAAAAGATGGAATTAGGTCGAATTATGAGATCTGATGATGAGCGATGCTTGTATGTAGTAAATGCCAATATCTGATTCTCAATCACGGGGAATCCCTTAACACCATCGATATAAATTAAATTTAGAAGCTTACGGTGAGCACAAACGCAGTTTTGGACGAGTTATGAGCCGTTATACTCGAGCAGCTGACGTAGTCTACTCACCCTTTATCAATGTAAAGGGTAGCTTCTGATTTAGTCCCTTATTTAATAAACTATTATCGGTATAAAGTTCCCGTGGCAGTGAACCCACACTTATAAAGTATTTGCGGCTCAATGGCTGGCACTTAAGTCGTGAATATGCCAAACTAGATAAGATATATCCATCGTATTGGCCTTCGGCAAGAGGTATATCTACTGTGTAAATTTCTGTACATGCAATGCCTATTACAATAAAATATATCATGGATGGAATTTCCATGCAGTTGATCATAAAATATACTTTTACTACGTTTCAGGCTCTTTAAGGTGTCAAAAAATGTTAGTGACAATTTATTGCATTTTCTGAATGGTTTATATTGTACCCGCGCATTGTCCGTTCCCCAAAAACACATTTTGGTTGGCTAACCCACATGACTACCAATTTCGAAAATATCTAATTAAGGTAATTTGAACCTAACTAATCATGGAAAAAACTTCATATTGAACTTCGCATGAACGACTAGTATTGAACATTTCGACATGAGAAATCCAAGCTGATCTAACCTATTAGTCACTTAGAGGGATAGAGTAAATCAAAGACTGTCTCAATTGTCAAGCCGACCCCTCAGCGTTGTTCGTGTACCTTGCAGCAACCTCAAGGTGCCGCGTGCCCAAAATTCAAACAATCATCACAAGGAGATGGCGACTTTTCAAATGATTTTTCTACAATCTTCTCATTATCTGATGTAGGTTTCACAGGGTACAGTAAACAGTACTGAGTATTCAGATAAATGTGTATATCTAACTACTGTCTTTTAGGAGATACTACAAGGCTGACGATGGAGCCTCGCTTACTAAGGTCGCACTGATATGCTTCCATGCTCCCATCACCGAGATAGTTTATTTGTTACCACATCTGAGTTCCTATCGAAACGAAGACTCTGAGCTGACTTCAAAAATATAGCAGTTATCAGATAAACAACGATGAACCTACATGAATTTTTCTCAGTATTTTTGTAAGAAATAGAAAGATTGCTCATGAAGAGGTAAATAAATTATGCCTTTCCCGAGAGAAGTTTGCACAAGTTCAACTTTGCTTGAAGGATATCGGCACTGGCACCAGCACTAGAATTGATAAAAGTTAGAATCATTACCCTTACCCCTCCTATCTTTCGTCACTTTATTCTACACTCTTAATCTCTCATTGCAAACTTCAAACTCGTCTTTTTGCTTCTTACTAGAATGAGGACATATTTATACTACTGTGTACAAAACCCAACGAAACCCTGAGCAATGTTCTTTGGAAAATGTATACTTCGTAGGTCTATCTGTCTAGCGACCATGGATTAGCATTATTAAGGCGAAAGCATCAGGGGAATGTGAAGAGGACGACTGGCAATAGATCAAAACCAGTATATTGTTTTTTTTTTTTTTTGCATCAGATTTTAATTGCGTATGCAGCTATCTAGCTATGACACAATATCAAAGAAAAGTACAGAAAAGATGACTCAATTTACAAGAGGAGCACTCATGCCTCGGATTTCATTTGCAAGTACCACTGCGAAGTTATGGCGGCTTTTTCTTCACCCCAAGTCAACCCTCATCCGTGAATACCCACCCAGGGGAACGTCTCAAAAACCCTGAGTTATCCAGATATGCCTCCGTCATCCATCAACTTTTCTCCGCGCGAAATGTAATCTGAGATGTCTCCTTCCCAAGTGGAGTAGGTGCCCAGGCTACTCAAACCATACCAGAGAATATCACCAGGAGGCGGACCACAACACCTTCCATCGTTTGCTTGTGTTTATAGTGTCAGCTGCACTCTCGCAAGCGAAGTCTTGGCGTGCACAAAGCTCGATTCGTAAAACTCTTGCCAAAATTCGAAATTTCACGCCCGTCGAAAACGTATCACTCTTTTGCATCATCTTGTGAACTTGTCCTGATCCCTCTCACGTCCGTCCCAAAGAGCTATCTCCCAGATTTGTGCGCCACACTTTGCTTCCTCCGTCGGGTATAAATATCGGCGTGGGCGTGTATTTGGCGGTCAATTAAGGCCAGAGAAAGTCGACTAGAGGTGTGATCATTGGGGTGAGGATGTACTATGTCGTACTTGTAGACTTGATGAAGCTTAATTGAGAATCGGACTCTTTGGGAGTGAAAGATTGACATGGTGGAGTAATTAAACCCAGTATAGTAACTGAGCCTAATGAACCTGATTTTATGTGTGTTTATCGCATTACTTTAGTCACAGACTATCTAGCACATTGGGCTCCTCTCTGACCCAAGCCACACCTTGTACAGTGCTCTTTTCCCCTTTTGTGACTTGAAAGATCATTGATATATTCCCCTTAATGAATAGCCATTCAGCTCAGTATTTACCCGTGGAATTCGGCCACCTTTTCCACGGAACCTTCTACCCCCCCAAAAAATGGTAGCGATGGAAACTGCGTGCGCGGGAAAAGTCTCAAAAACCCTGCAGCCCAAGCCAGGCGAGGCCTATACACCGGTACCACATGAGTTGCGCGTATTCATCTATATCTCCCTTCTTTGTGACATTCGTATTAAAATATTCGTACTCTGATCACTTGTATTACTTGATGGGAGACACTGCACTGCAAACGTAAGGCGTAGTTGAATCAGGATTGAATTGATATCCCACAGTAGTGATATGAGATTGGTCTTAGAGAAGTCCCCATCCACCAAACTGTGTTCCAATTATCTACTCTATTCTAAACGTGTCTCATTCCCTCGTATAACTGAGAAGTACTCTGCCGATAACTTGAGTCATTAAAGAATGACTACTCCTTCACTTGACAGATCGTCTCTACGACTCCTCGCTTACATTACTCGGTGAATCATGAGGGACGCGTCTATCGTCCAGACAATGCACGGCTCGTGACTATGCGAGTCGTGTAATTCGATACTGGAGGTTTCACGTTCTATCTACAGTCAAACTCCTGTTAAGACGATGTAATCGGGGCCGTGGAAAATATCGTCTTATAGAGGATATCGCTTTAAAAGGATATCATTATCTTACCCAACTATCTAGGCTACTTTTTACTTTTGATGCCTCTTTTATACTCCCATTTGCCGTCTTTAATCGCTCTAATATTCTCAAGGTCAGGCCAGTTTGCAGCTCGCTGTCGTATCGCAGTAGTACTTGGAGCTTCGTCGAGTTTCGCAAAGGTCTTGCTCAAGGACTCGGAGACTGTGGACTGGCTTAATCGATGGCCGTACTCGGCTAAGAACCACTCAATGCACTGTTTTTGTGTTGGTTTTGGGACCTAGCGGTGCGCCCGTCGTCGCCTAGCACGTCGTTGCTCCACAGAAATTCCCTTTTTTGGCGGAATTGTAAGCACCTTTCTAGCAAAAAAACCCTGGTTAAGACGATATTCAGAGGTTGAAGAACGATAATCGTGTAATCTGTAAATGAATGGCAACGTATTCCGTTCCGGAAAAAATATCGCCTTAACGGCAATATCGACTTAACCAGGATCGTCTTAACAGGGGTTTGGCTGTACTAGGATGTGATCTGTTTCTCTAACAATTCGAGTCCGACTTGATCCAATCCACCATCTCCGTATCGGATGCTGGGTACGCACCGGAAACTTATCGGATAGCTTTTCCTCCATGATCAAGGATTGGTGATGAGTGGGGCTCCGACCCTACCATCTGATCTGATCGTGGTTTGCTTCATGGTAATGGTGATAGGGGGATGTGTTGAGAGATGAAGAGGATACAGAGCGCGAAAGCGATTGGGTATCCTCATCGAAGCAAAGACTTTGTCACTCAACCTCAGCTCTACAGACTCTAAAGTGAGAGCTGGAAGTTCGTAGCGGACACCACTAGCAGGTGTCGAGAATATCCCCTTGCCTTTAGTATGGTAATATGGGTATCAATGTATTTTGCTTGTCGGTGTGTCATCAGAGACTTTGAATTTTCCATGACTCGATGGATATGTTAGAATTACCAGCTCGAACCATCTCTCTTCAGTTCACTAGTCTTGATGCTTTTCATTGTCATTCCTCGCATCAACACACAAGTTAACGTCGCCACCTTCGTTCAAGATTCGAGAATTCTTTTGGCAATTTCTCGAATTTGACGCAGTTACTGCTGCAAAACCCAAGGGATATACTGACGGGAACTTTCGGTTTCTCCTTTCTCGTACAATGCTTTAATTTTATTTTCCAATAGCTATATGTTTTGGTTGGAGTCTGTATCCATATTTGATTTTGTTTTCACCATCCTGATTTGCCGCCCTATAGGCCCGTGCAGGTGTCTATCATACTTTCTAATTTACGTAGGAGGATACTTTTTAGTGGTAACCCCCCAAATATTTCTTTTTATTGTCTACGTTTTCCTAATGTATCCTTCACGAAGCGAAGTTACACTACAGTGCCCTCCATGAAAACCAATCATATAAGCTTCACCGACCTCAAGAAAGGCATGAC